AGATCTTCATGGAGGTCAGCGACGGAGGTTTGGGCTGTGGCAGCGCCGAACAGCGCGTCCCCGCTGCTCTCCTGGCGTCCTGGGAAGCCGGCATTCACGCGGCTGCCCAGGAGCTCCGCGAGACGACAACGATTGGCTTCTTTCGGCGGTGGCCGGGCCTTGGCCGCGCCCTCTCGGGCCTCTTGGAAGGGCGGGGGGGCAGGGGCCAGAAGACGTACGCCCAGCATGTACGGGGCCACGCCACCAAGACGTTCTTGGCCGCGCTGCCGGCGACGGCGGCGGCGGCGGTGCATAGTGCCTCGGGCAGCTCAGCGGGCGCCTGGTTGGATAACTTCGAGGGGGTTTCGCCCCTCGCCGACCACGCGTTCCGCATTGCGGCCAAGAGGCGCATGCATTTGCCGCTGCTGCAGTCCGAGTGCACGTGCCAGAGCCGGCCGGCGGCGCCCGCTCGCGCGATGGCGCAGGCCGGCCCAGCGTGTGGCCGCACGGTGGACGTCCGCTGCGTTCGTGCGCTCAACTGCCCCCGAGGAGGTGGCCCGGTGCGCCGCCGCAACGCAATTCGAGATGCTGTGGCGCTCTGGTTGCGCGGGGTGGGCCATCGCGCCCTAGTGGGGCAGGTCATCCCAGAGTAGCACGCGGAAGAGCAGGGCGCGGCCACACTGGACGTCGTCTACCATCGAGGCCTCCACGGCCGGGTGTGTCTCGACATCAGTTTGGTGGGCGAAGTGGCCGTGGCCCAGACGGGGCGGCCGCGTCAGGCATCCCTGCAGCGCAGAGAAAAAGTGAAGCACCGTAGATATCCATTTTCTGGCCTGGTGCCCTTTGTTCTCGATGTCAATGGCCGCTGGGGCGCAGAGGCGGATGCGCCGCGCCGTAGGGGAGTTGCTCGAGGCCGAACGGCCCGCAGCGCGCTCGTCCCTGCGCGCGGCAGTGGCCAACGCCCTGCAGGGCCAAATCGCTGAGCAGGTCGCCCTGGCGACGGAAGACGTAGTCGGGCTGGGCGCCGGGGTCGCCCCGAGTGCCCGGTCTTGACTAGATGTGGCTCCCTCCCACACGTGTGTGTTCCCTGGCCCTTCCCTTCCCCCTTGCCTACCTGCTGCCCTGATCAGTTGTAAAGCCGTGGTCGCGTCAGCAGTGTTTACTGTACTGTATAGTTCCCTCATAGTGTGCATGATGCGCTCTTGCTTCGTCATGTCAGCTTTGCACGCTGCGTTGTGCGCGCCGAACGTCCGGGACGAAACGTAACTAGCAGCTGGCCGCGGGCCCTGTTGCGCCGAGAGGCCAGACTGGCGTCGCGGGGTCGCGCGCCGAAAGTCCGGGACGAAACGTAACTAGCAGCTGGTCGCGGGCCCTGTTGCTTAGTCCTTCGCTCTTCGCACGGTCAACTTTGCGCCTAGCCATTTTGGCTTGCTATCCTGGCTTCTTCTCGCGCCTACTTGCGCTCGTTGGCCTCGCTGGCGGTGCTGGGGTCGCCCCGTGTGCTGCTGTGCCGCCGCTGTGCGCCTAGCCATTTTGGCTTGCCATCCTGGCCTCTTCTCGCGCCTACTTGCGCTCGTTGACCTCGATGGTGGTACTGGGGTCGCCCCGTGTGCTGCTGCGCCGCCGCTGTCGCTTTACTCTGTGCCGTAGGGACCAGCTGCCCTCGGATAAGCGCCCGCCGCTGCATGCACGTCAGACCCGCCATTTCACCCAGACGAGGTGCTCGCTACATACTGGAAATGAGGCAGCCACAGGGGCGCTCATCCCAAGGTGGTTGAGCCGTGGTGATGTGGTGCACGATACCGAGTAGTAGTAGTAGTAGTAGTAGTAGTAGTAGTAGTAGTAGTAGTAGTAGTAGTAGTAGTCGTAGGTTCGTATAGTAGTCGTAGTGGTGTAGTCGGTCGTCGTGTCGCAGTGTGTCGTAAGGTCGTAGGCGTCGTAGTAGTAGTAGTAGTGATATTAGTAATAGTCGTATAGTAGTCTGTAGTAGCAAGTATTAGTGAGTTAGATAGTAGTAGTAGTTGTAGTTGTATTTAGTTGTAGTAGTAGTGTATATAGTAGTAGTATAGTAGTAGTAGTTAGTGGTCGTAGTTAGTAGTAGTAGTAGTAGTAGTAGTAGTAGTAGTGAGTGGGCCGTACAGTAGTAGAAGTGTTAGTACTAGATAGTAGCACTCCAAGTAGAGTAGTAGTAGTAGTGGTGGTTAGTAGTAGTAGTAGTAGTAGGAAGTAGTAGTGTATTACTATGAATTAATAGTAGTAGATAGTAGTGTCACGTAGTACTAGTAATGGTAGTAGTAGTAGTAGTAGTAGTAGTAGTAGTAGTAGTAGTAGTAGTAGTAGTAGTAGTAGTCGTAGTAATAGTAGCACCCGTAGTAGTAGTAAGCAGTAGTAGTAGTAGTAGTAGTAGTAGTAGTAGTAGTAGTAGTGGTGGTGGTGGTGGTGGTGGTGGTGGTGGTGGTGGTGGTGGTGGTTGTGGTGGTTGTGGTGGTGGTGGTAGTGATGGTGGTTGGTCGCAGTAGTG